CGGCGCAACAACATATTTTTTGGCGTCGTAAAAAAATTATTGTTTAAGTACGCACCACTCACACACACTCATAATAATACAAATGCTATTATTAGTTCTATTATTATACCGCTGCAACCTATAGAGAAGCTTTTAATGGTAGAGTGAAATCCATATTTTCACTTTCCACGTGAATGATTTTCCGCCATTCCGCGTAGAGTTATACGCGCTGCCTTACAGATGTAAAGTAAAAAAAGTGTCATTTTTATAAAATAGGCATATAAATGGTTGCACTTAGGTACGTTTAATCCGTTCCGTTTATAATATACGGTGTACCGTATTATTATTATTATAATATTATCGTTGGCGTTTTGTTCGCCGTGGCTCTTTTGACCCGTTTGCAAAACACATAAAACCCGGTCACGATGGACATTTTGCTCTCGCTCTGACCGCGAAAAGTGGGTCATTCCGGTACCCGGTGGTCGGTCTTACGTCTGTTACGTTGCTCCGTACTGTGTATAATATATTATATACATATAATAATAATATATTATACAGATGTAATACACGCAGAGACTAATTTATATTACACGCGAATTGTGTGTCAGTCACGATGTCCATATACATAGGTATAAGGCGTACTTATAAATATTACTTATGTTTGAATCTAAGAAGGCATAATGGACAACAGCGAAGTTTGTGAACATCCCAAAGTTCAAAATTATGTCTTGCTGATTTACTATAGCATTTGTAGTAAGCTTTGTACTACTTTAATATTTTATATTATGTTATTATTGATTTGTATTTATCCGTTATCGTGTACACATTATGACATTATGTTATTATATCTTGTACATAAATACATAATTACATAAATAACTATAAAGCGGGATGCTTCTCCCTCACTCAGTCACTCCCCTTTCCCCTCTCACTGTGTGACGTGGATCAACCGAACACACCATTTTATTAATGTTACGGCAATCATAATATTGAAAACAAAAATACAAATTTAAATTTGAAACCATAAACTTATAGATTTGGCTATCGAAATGGCTCGCGGAGAGGCACTCTCCAACCCCCCTCACACTCCTATTAAATTCGGTAGTTGTTGCTTATTATATAATATATAATATTATCATATTATATTATTAATATGTGTATACTATTGTATATTTATATTATATTACTTTAAGTGTACAATAATTTGTACCACATTAAACGTGATCGATGCAGGCGAACAAGAAAAATCAAAACTTAACATAAACAAACAACTGCGCAGAATATTTCAACATTATTTAGTTTGTTCGATCACTATATGAGTATTAAAACATGTAATATATTGTATAAAATATATTACGATTATAGTGTAGATATAAATATATAATATAATATTACGGAAGAACGTGTTGGACACAGAGTCTACCGCGTCATATATTAAAATATATCGTATAGGTACCGTATACCGTATTAGCGTAAACCTGAACGACTGCATGTCTACATGTACATTGTACAGTGTTCTGAGTGTTCTGACGTTTACAGTGACGGCTTACCAGAGGTTATATCATTGTAAATATGATTGTTAATATACGTGTAAAAGAAATGACAAAATATTATAGCGATATATATTAGCGGCTAACTAGCGATCGTTATGTTTTGTGTGTTAATTACTCATTTATTAATTATATTATTGCAAAAAGAATACGAATTTATGCGCGTTAGACCTGTTGTCTATATGGACCTGTTATTCTACACCAAGACACACACAAGCACAATGATTTTTCTATAAAATGTATAAACTACACAGTTTTTGTTCGGTACGGGGTAAACGAGATTCCAAATGAGAAAAAATCTAACACAATACCAATAACCTTAGAATGTTTGTTACGTCGTGTAATATCATACATAATAATGTATGTGTACAGTGCTTTTAGAAACAGTAAAACAATAAGCATTGTCGATGGAATATAACGATGTATGTGGTTTGCGTGTCGTTGATGGAAAGCTTTAAGACAAAAAAAAATATTCTAAAGCCCCATTATGTTGTTGGGTTTCACCTTCGTTTGGGTGGGGACTTAATTACACCTTATAGTTTATACTACGGGTTCAAAGCGTATTACAAAAATATTAACGTTAAAAGCATAATATATATTTGGATTGTTTTCTAGGTGGAAACTTCGATATAAATGCATAAGCATCTCAGCTATATCTATAAAGTAAAAAAAAAAAGTAAAATCCATCAATTGATATAGGTTGATTTTAGTTTATTCTGTTGAATAATTCTACGATACTAAATACCATGAAAGATGAATCGCGGGATGATTATATTATCGTTGTTTGTTTTACATTGTATACACAAGGATAAATTGTGCTTGTGTAATGGCAATGCCAAATCATTAGAAACATCAATCATTATTTTATCAGCAGCTATTGTCAATGTTAAAACCGTGTTGTATCTTTTTATTTCTATCATTGTATCTATACGTGTATTCATTTTTAATTTGATATCATTTTGGTAGACAATAATTGTAATTTTTATAACTATTATTATTTCTATTTACCTATATTGCCTCCCTACCTATAGGGTTTGGATGTTCTAAAATATTATTGTATTATAAAATAAATGCGTTGGACTGTTTAGAGGAGTGCTATTACGTTACAGGTGGAGTTTTAAATTAGGTATTCATTGAATTAACATTTTATTTTATTTACATATCACACGTAAATGTAAATTTATGCATATTATTGAGAATTATTTTTTCTATTATATTTATATTTAGTTATTTAAAATCAATGTACTTATTTAATAGTTTTTTTTTAATAACACAACTTATTAAAATAAATGTTTTTTTAAATACAATGATTAGTGAGGGGTGGGGACTACCAAAATTGTTTAGCTTAACAATTTCAATAAATATTAATCTATCAAACAATTTTAAATATAAATGATTTTTACTTATAAAAGAATCAGAAATATTAAAATCAGAAAAAAACAATGGTATATGGCATATGCATTATTCGTTGAGATTTTTGTAATATTCTATTTACAGTTGGATAATAGGATAATTTTATAATTATAATTATATATGTTATAAGGTCCATAGGAATACACGATAATAGAAAATAAAAGCCTGACTATTCATAATATTATAGTGAACATTTTGAAACAGTTACTATTAAAAATTTTAAATGCTTTAAAAACTTTAGGTAATTTTGACAACCTTTAACATTTCATACAAAATAATTAAATAATGCATGTATTTATATTATATAATATAATGGCATTATGCACGTTATTATAGTATTGTAACATTGCATATAAACGTACCTAATATTTATACTGCAACCTGCAGTAACGAATACGTAGAAAAATAAATCTAAATCTAAACTTTTTATTGTTATTGCTTGTTTCTCAGTTATATTATTTTCTAAGTAAAAATATAATTATACACTACATTTCGTTTTAGTAACAAAATATTCGACTTTGATCGTACAAACACTAATATAATATAATATAGGTACCTACGTACACAAATTTGCAATAACAGAAACTAGATTTTTTTATAGCAACCCAATTGTTTTTACAATGTTATAAATTTACAATAATTTTCAATAAATACAAATAAACATAAAAAATATTTTCTTTATTAGTTTTCCGATTGGTCTTCTAGAAAGATGTCTTGTGATAGGCGTGGTTTTAGCCTAGATTTAGACTTTTTAGCTAATTTTGTAATCATGAGCTTTTTTTGTTTTATTTAGCTTGTTGTGGGAGTTTTTCTATTGGTTAATTATCCTTGTTGATACTTGATAGGTAACTAGGTAAGGCAATCCCGTGTCATTGTTTCACAATTATTTATTTCGCATCAACCAGGGGGCTTTAGAGTGGTATTCTCAGGAATATAATGTCATATCCCTACCTGCAGGCTGCAGCCTACATAATAAATAATATTATGGCATTACCTATGCATAATACATTTGGATATAATTTACCTAGATAATATAATAATATAACTTATTGATATGTTGTCGTAAGTTCTAAGCTACTAACTTGCATAAGTGTATTGCACCAAATACACAATAATAATTATTATTATTGGAAATACCAATGACGACGCAAATAAAAAATAAAACTTCTATAATACAAGAGTGATGACGTCATTAATGTGAACAAAAAACACAATATCTGTAATATTACTCGGACCGCGGCTGCACTTGCCACCGAATCAAAAGCCAATACAGATTTGTGGACAAAAAATGTCGAATATATCATATTTCATGGAAAAACAGCGGAAAGTCGGTGTTGATTTCCTTTGTGAACGAGAAGCGGATTCAGGATGCGCGTTGTAATAGTAATAATAATAGAAGCGTAGAACGCAAAACCGGGTCGATAGGGTACGGTAAATTGGTATCACTGCGCGGATACCGGCAACCGGCATTGTCAGCTGTGGCGTTGAACATTTGTGCCAAACCACGTCCATAGTTCCGTTTTACGTCTTGTCGTAGCCGGTAGTCCTTCGCTGTTCGGCTGTTCAGCCTCAAATCACCGATTATTATTGTTGTTGTTGTTGTTGTCGTTGTCGTTGTCGTCGAATTTTCCCCGTCAATTGTGTATTCCGTGTGAACTAAAATTCGCAAAAATAAAACATTCGTGCGAAAAAATTTGAAAAAATCGCCGCTTAAAAACTTTACCGTTTTTCTTACGATTTCAATCTGTGTTATTTAAATAACGCCAATATAAACGTAATTGCTAATATATATTATATACTATAATATAGTATATAGTTTTTTTTCTTTAACTATTTTTTGGTAGGTAAAAATGTGCTGTTATAATTTTGTGAATTGGTACGATGGTGGAGTGAGTGTCGACTGATATTGTACGGGAGTGACGCCGGTACATATAATATTTTGTTTCGTGATTAATTTTTTCCCCGCCCGTTTCCTCGATCGCGCTTACGCGCGATAATCAATATCAATTAATCACGTCGTACCACACCGCCAAGCTGGACGCTTCGTTCGCGATCCCGATGCGGCACAGGAACGGGCTGATCCCGGGCGCCGGCAAACGGCTGGCCAAGCGGTCCATCATAGGGACGCGCGTCTGCGCGCCGTCCGGCGATGACGGAAAGCTCTGCGCTGGCATCATCGCCGCGGTCAAGACGGCCGCGGACGGCTCTGAGACCGGATATTCAATACGGTTCGACGACGGAACCGGCAGCCGGCGTGAGTACCGGGCCACCGAGCTGGTCGGCCCCGGTTTCCAGACGCTGTCCGACCTCCGACTGATGGCCGGTCAGCGGGTGTACATCACGTTCAATGGTCGCGAGATATGCGGTGACGTGGTCGTCCACAGACCGGACACTGAAGAAGTGCGCGTTTCCATAATGCCGCACGGGCACGAGGTGAGTGTTGAATGACAGCGGATATAAAAATATAATTATAAATTTAAATTGTAGAGATAGTTGCTGACTTTGCATAGCGATTACGCCGGTCTGTGTAAAAGCGATCGTATTACCAAAAAAAAAGCGATCTGTCTCGTTTGCGTTTTATAGCGGCGGGACAGCCCGTGTGTTTGGGCGTTTGGCGCCAAAACGGATGTGTTTTCTTTAAGTCTCGGTCGCTCCCCTGGCCCGCGTCCACTGCCCGTTACTTGTTGCCGGCCGGCGCGAGTGCACGGGCTGACCGTGCGATTTTTATGCGTTTCTTCTTATAAAAACTGAGGTGGCATATTATAATAACCTACGCGTTGTTACTTGTTACCTGTACACGGAACTTGAATATCCGCGGCGGACGTACGCAGTAGTTTTCCGCGTAGGCACGCCAATTTCACCGGGTTGGCGGCGGTTACTATTTGCAATGCGCGGGCGACACGGTTGCCAACCTACCGTTGAGGCCGGCCGGCCTGCCGGCTGCTGTAGCGGGATCAGCGTACCATGTCGTTTTTTGAATAATATTCATACGTATCAATCTGACGGGCCGAGAGCCGTGTCGTATACGTATTATACACGGACAGGGAATCTCCTTTTCGACTACTGTCACGCCACAGCTGGTAGCTGCTGTTCAACGGGGTCGAAACCCCTCCTGTTGGCGGCATTTATGGAATTTTATTCATTTTTTCACCCTTTGACACCCAGACGTCACATACAGAGCGTACTGTTGTCAACGGACAACGACGTTGTTCAAGTTTCTGACCTTCCAAAAAACCGACAGAAACCGGGTTTTTTGAGAATCACAGATTCGAATATTGTTTTCAAGTGTTTTTTTAGGTAACGTGTTAGCCCGTGTGGGAAACTCATCTTCTCCAGTGTTGAAATCAAATATTGAAATATTATATTATTTAAATAATTGTATTATAGTATTATATTATAAATGCGGTGTTCGCGGGTCGAGGCGGGTTCCGTTCACTGCGCAGTTGAAACCAGTTGGGTGAACGGGATGTAACATGGAGAGGGGGTGGTCCTTATACTTTCTACCTCATTTTTATTATTATTATTTTTACATCACAAGTCACCGCCGCGGTGTGTGTATAACAATAATAATATAATATTCACGTATACAATAAAAATATATACCTTTCTCCTGCACTACGCGAGCGTGCGCGACATTCCGTTGGAACGCGATTTGGCGAAAGGACATCGTAATTGCGTCAAACACATCCCCCCTCACAACGCCACCGCCTCCGCCGCACGCTTCTGTGTACCACTTGGCGGCTGGAAACTCGTAACCACAATTCGCTGTATTGACGGAGGTGGGAAAAGTTCGTAGATAACTGCCGTTATCGAAACTTGAGCAATAAACTGTGTGCATATTTAATATTTACTATTTTATTATGATTAACCGATTAGGTACTATATTTATGTGATTATTACTATTATTATTTATTAATAATATATATTGTACAGATAATAATGCATATACTGCGGTTGTGCTTGACCTTGACTTTGCCGCGGCGTGTGCGCGACCGATATCGCAGGCTTGAATTACAATCCGGGTCATCTAGTCGGGCCATGGAAAATCGCATAGTATACTTATAAATTATAATATACTTCACTTGTGCGTATTCTTGTAATTTGCACCATTGTGGTAACCGGTTGCAAGCATGAAAAAAATGTTGAGCCTTGAGTTTATAGAAAAAGCCACTGAAAACTCGTCGCGTTTTTTTACTTCCTTATAATTTTATGAAAAATAAAAATTATTTCATATATACGAACTTTGAGACATGGGTGTGTGTGAGAATGCATTTCGCCGATTTCACAAGGAAACGAACCGGTCTTGCGGGTGGAGTGAAAGCATTGAGACTATATTATTGTTGGTTTAATGTAAGATACATAATTACCGGCAGCTACCAGCAACTTATGCATTTTTGATTATAGCCATCCTCTACCCTTATTGAAGGCAATTTATTTACAACCACCATTTACCATTGTTTTCTTTTACAGGGGTCCATCGAAGTAATAAAGAAATTGGATGATGTTCGCGTGTTAGAGTCTAGAAAATCGGCACGGCTAATGGACCAGGATACAGATTTCGCTAGGTTGGCAGACATGTCAGACAGGAAACGTAGTTCGTCCTCTCAGAATGCTGTAGAAATCAGCGGGTAAGTTTTTGTTAGTATAAAATAAGATAGATTAATATTATCATTTTTAAACTTATTTTTTGTTTTAATATTGCGGTGTGGCTTGATGTATATCTTCTTCTTTTTCGGTTAACCTTTGGTTGGTTGATAATACTACAACTGGACATAACGATCTTGATTAAACAATTTTTTTAGGCATAATATATATATATATATATATATATATATTATATATATATGTGTGGCTTTGTGTGGTTCGATAGCTATTTTATAATAAGGACAACGTAATACATTCAGAGATAACGTGGAGATAAAACATGTACATACAAGTTAAGACGAATACAATAGAGCAGTTCAATAGCCCGAAAATATCGTTAAACTTAATCAATGTAATAGTACAACATTTCACTTCTGAATTCTGTCGGTCATCTAAATGAGAGGTGCCAGGATCCCTGACACTCGTTTGGGACATGATAAACGTACACTTATTTTGGCACGGTGTCGTATTTGTTAATCGGGCATCAGTTTCCACTATAAATAGAAAATTATTGATGGTTTAGCAATTATATAATAGTAGATTGTAAGTACTCAGATAAATAAATAAAATTGTTTTTTTTTTTAATTGAAAAATAATAAAAATCGTCCGGTAGTATATATTATATAAAGTGTCATAAATATAAAATGTAAACATGAAATGTTTTGATGGATCTTGCGAGTGTGTGGGCTGGGCTTATCGTACGAATTTTATTTATTGTTTTCATTCGTTGTATGGTATTAATATACTATACGTATCATATTCCACAATAATAATAATAATAATAATAGTTTGAGTGAAAAATCATAACATAAAAGGAAGGGGTGGGCAATACGAAAATGAAAACGATCTGCTCTGCAGAAGACAGTTACGGTATTTGGCGCGGTGTTTTCTCTCGTTATACTGCTGGTCTTAAATTTATTTCTCCGCTGAATTCCCATCTCGATGTGCGTGGGATGAAGAAAACTATTTTACGTCTTTAAATTAGTTTCCGTCGTATGCCGTCGGTTTTCGATAATACTATAGGTATAATATCGGTGGTGCTGACGACGCCGCCGCTCGGCGCACACATAGTACCATTCACTTTTACTCACACGGGCGGGTTAATAGTATATAAGAAAATGTGCATTGATAGAGTTCCGGTTCCGAGACTGCATAATCTGTCATTTAAAAAACATTGTATCCCGTTCTCCGGTACAGATTGCACGTCTGTCTCTAAGATATCCGCACTGCAAGTACGTATCGACACGGTAGCATACGCCCAAACGATATAAACGCGACGTAATATTATATCGTAATTGCAAATAGGTACACACTAACACACATCTGTATTTTAAATGGTGGTCCCCCTTCGCGTGATGCAAATTGTGTCCGGTAGACCTTGTTGTGTGTTCCATCGCAATACCGTATTTCAGATTATTAAAACATGCGTGTATTTCGGGCGGTGACTGGAGACACGGAGAGGAGGTGTACAGTAACAAAAAAAAAAAAAAAAAAAAACATAATAAAAAGAAATAGCGACCCTCGGATCAGCTGATTTTTTTTATTCAAGGTCGGTTGACATACGAACGACCTTGCCATGTTGCCGATGTTCTACTGCTGTAAGCCGGTAAATCATTTAGAACCGGTGCACTGTCAGTACTTGTGTCGCAAATATGTATTTATATAAAGCGTTGTAATAGATATAGCGTTATTTAGTACATCATGTCAACATACACGCTATATAGGTTCACACTATCCGAATACGGTACGCCACTGTGCCGTAAAAGGTCCGCGTCCTTGTCGTAGTCCGTAGGCCCATTAAATAATATAGGCACTATTATAGTCGATTCCATTATTGATCGGCTTGTTCTGTCCACGTTTTTTTCGTCAACTTTTTTTTTATTGAACGATCAAATAATAAATTGTATTTCCCACACGCAAAAGAAATGTAACGAAATTTTAGTTACCTGCAGGTATTTTGTTTATGCTGTAAGTAACCCAAATTGGCTTTGATTAATTCAAATAGCTTATACAATATATTACGCGGAGACGTGAAAATCAAATTCGGTGCTTTTCACCGTCATTTTTTTTTTATATGAATGACAGTTACAAAGTTGTGTGAAAAAATAAACCGTACCCTAGGTCGCGGCCTTTATGTGACCAATGTTATGAAATCTGGTTATTTCACTGCATGCATACGCGTACACGAATTAAAAACAATCAAGTTCAATACGATTTCGCAAGGTTGATGGCGACGCAGGTGCATGGAGTGCGAACACGACAAGATTTTTAAAGAATATATTGTAGTTCCTATATAATAGTGTGGGTTACACCAGCGACCATGAATGAGAGTCAAACTGCTGACGGTTGTTATTGTAGTTTTGGCCTACTTATTGCTTTTTCAGTCACGTCGGGCGTGGTGATATCCGAGAAAATTGTCTTCGTTTAACATTGTTGTATTGTTATTGGTTTTTTTCCATAATTATATATTATATATGTCCCGGAACACTTTGGGACCGGCATACAAGGGGAATATAATTAGTTTATAAATATATATATATCAATAAACTTACTATTTGCAGATAGTAATTGCACAAATAAAATCACTCGGCCATTACGTTAAATTACGCAATAATGGAGGTTTATTTACATAGGTATAATGTATAACATAATATATATTATGTACAGTGTGTATCGGGTAATACCTGTACGGCTGTACTGGTGTTATATGATTGTTATGCCTTATGGGTTTGTTTACATATATATGTTTCTCTGGTTGTTGTTTGCATTAAACTTATCGATTGCATATTTGCATGTGTAATGTAAAAAAAAAAAAAATACATTGATGATGATCAACATTCAACATTTTAATAGGTTTTTTTTTCTGTATTGAAAATCCGGTTGATGTATCGGACAATAGTATTATGATACTCGTAGAAATGCAATATTAAAAAAAAAGTGGGTAAGTGGATGTCGCTCTGCTGTACAGTAGGTTACAACTGGGTCACTGTAATGGATGGTGTTCAATTTGAATTCAATAATATAATATCATTGTATAAGAAAAACGATTCTGAGCGGAGACGGTTTGTCAGTCTGGAGGATATTTTATATTGTTATTATTTATTATATCATGTAAGTTGAATTAATTTTATAATACTATAATTTTTTATTCGTTTCTATGGTGGTAAACAAATCGTTAGAAATTAAAACTCCATTATTAGCGGTTTTTCGCAATTTTTCGGTGATTTTTCCCGTGGCATTAAATAACTATTGAGAAAATCAAAAAATGACCTCTCTAGAGTACCATCTTGATCCAATTTTCTAAAAGATAAGGTACTATATGTTGAATTCGAAGAACTCCTTCTGGTAGAAACTTTGTTTACAGGATATAAAAAAAAAATAATAAATTAATTAACACCATTGTAAAACCACTTGTTCCTCGCTCCGCTCAGAATCCTAAATTAGATTAGACTAGATGCCCGACAAAATTTATCAAAATTAGAAAGTCAGATTATCTAAGCTCGAATTATGAACGAATTAATAGTTTAATTTATAATACAGAGGAGCTGAGGCTCGGGAGATAGATAATTCTTACATAATATATTTATAATAATATTGAATACATTGCTTTAAATTTAAACCTTGATAGTATTAATTAGAATTAAAATATACCCTCACTTGTTACCTAGTTCCGTCATCCTTGATGTTTAAAAATAGAATTCATATACCAGGTGTGAATCCAGTTGTTTACCCTGACCTTCCATGATATTCTGGTTGAGGCTAAAATCTTAAAATGTAATCAAAATGTTGTTGTTATTGAAGAAATGTTGTTGATATAGTCTGTTTGTTGGTTTTTTATTACTTATTTAATAATAATGGCGCTAAGTACTACACGATTCTTGAATATTAGCATTGAAATTAAAATTGATGATTTTTCTGATTTCTGCAGGTCCCGAAAACGTCGACCCAGCAGTAGCCAAGATCTGGACGAATCCCGTGAAGAGGAAATGAAAGATGAAGACGACGATAATGAACCAAAAGAGGAAGAAATGACAGAGTGTACCGCGGCCTTGGTGTTGATGAGCCTGTCATGCAGTCCCCACTCGCCGTCCATACAAGGTCGGTATTTGAATTAAATGCACTTTTTAGCACCGACCGTATGTCGGTATATTTTTCGTAATCGCATTCGGAGCCAAATAAAATCGCTATTGTTTTCGATTCCGTGTATCGGTTGTATATTACCTGCATACGGGCACTTTCACCCGAATCTGTTTGTTGTATTTTTTGTGCGTTCCTGACGTGGGAAAACCCAATGGAAATCTTCGGTAAAACGGTCGCAGTCGGTAACTCGACCCGGATGATGGGCGGGGGGGTTGTCGATTGCGCACGGCGATAAAATAGTTATATGTACAGTCGCGCGATATAATAAAAGTACATGCACGTGAATAGGGGGAGGAGTGATATTTTTATATATAATATAATATTGTATACGATATGGAGGGGAAGTTGATACGCGGGATTTCACTTTCAGTCATGCTCTGCAACGTCCTTTCTCCACGGTTTCACATTGCAACAATATCGCCGTGTCCAAAAACCTAAACATTCATTTGAACGATTTAAAAAGCGTCGACCGTTGTAGTTAGGTGTATCGTATAATATACACTGCAATATACGGGAGGGGGCGTAATAATAATATTATTATAATATTATGCATGTATAATGGCATTACTATCGCGCGGCTTATTGACTCCGCGCTTCAGGTGTTACAGGGTGGCACGCCGGCTACACATCATGTTGCATATTATATATTTTAATATACATATTTAGGTATACAGCTATACCTACGCACAGGAAGCTACAACATGCAATCAACGCGATTCGTTTGCCGCCCACTATAATATTGTAATATACCATATATGTGTTGCGTCGCAGGGATGCCGTTGTGGTTCGTGCGTGTTTTTGTTTTTTGTTTTACGGTGCATTGACACCGCCGCATTGCCATGGCACATACCTATAAAAAAAAAATAATAATAATATGTACTTTAACCGGCAGCGGTACGTTGACCTCTGATTTGACCACTGCTGCAACGGAGTATGGTGTACCTATAATATAATATACATATATACACAATATATGGGTGGTATACATATATAATGCCTTACTGCAGCAGCAATGCGCAAAGAAAAACCACGTTTAATATACACGCGTCGAACGCGAAAACCGTAATCGTGTAACGTCCGTCGTCCGATATAATATTATGTATTACGCGTAATGTGTGTATAACGGGGCACTTGGCCGCACGTCTAATTATTAAACGATCCGGTCATCGTGTGTATAAATTATAACGGGCGGCGGTGTGTACCTATAACACTTGACCGGGCTCGGGCATTACACGCACACGCTGCATTTACACGTCTTACGGCCGACGCGTGTATCAGTGATCTTAAAATTTATTGAATTTCGTATCGCACTCGATAATTTTTTTTTTTTAAAGCACTTGACCCTGCACATATCTATATATATATATTATATTATATAATAATATATGGGATCGAGTTTGCGGTTTTTATTTCGTCGCGTCGTCAATATTGTATCATTATTTATAAATATTATAGATACTAATCGATGGTTTTATTTTAAAAACGCTGTGCAAGCCGCCTGATCGAGGCACGGTTGAGCCTCCGCCACCATCTGGCGCGAGGAGTTCTTATCACTGCCAAGCCGTCCATTACTCAACAATAACAATAATAATTCTCCATCGCGTTTTATTATTTTTATTATATAGAGAGTTGCTCAACTGTGGCCTAGATATGATAGTGGTAAAAGTGAAAAGCCAGCTTTCTATGCAGCGCGCGCTGTACCGCCGTGGTGGCTCGGCTAGCGCGCTTGGGTACGCGTTTATGTGGCATTTCGTAACCGGGACGCAGTGTTAAGGACGCGAAGAGCGCGCGCCCGCCGCGGTGTAACCGGTCTCGCGCTCCTGCTGCACCGGCCCGCCCCGCCAACGCGCTCGAGTAGCGCGAAACGCCCGACATTGGACGTGACAAGGACGGATCACGCTCGGAAACTGTGTCGCCGGCCGGCGCTCGTGAGTCGTGACACATAATTTTCGCCTGAACGGCAGACGTATGTTATGCTCACACGTTGAACGTTAATTCATAATAATACAATTATAAGCAAAGCCCCCACCCCAGTGAATATCATAGTTTCTAGGCTTATAGAATATAGGTATATCTATTATATTTTATGAGTCATCATTATATAGTTAAAAATATTTTGAGCGTGTACGTACTACGTGCTGAGTATATGTGACGCATCCGTCGTTTCTTCCGAATGCACTAATACTACAAATCACGAGCAACTATGATACTACGAGAAGGAGGAATTCGTCCAAAAAATTGTGTCTGAATAACACTCATTATTATATAATACCGCGACTACAAGACGTTCGCGCAGCTTTGGTCTTGCGCGTCGGAGGAAATATAAACATTTTTTTAACCAGAAACGGTGTTGTATAACGATCACTAGTGCACAACAGTCATAGTTACTGTACTATGGTTTGTCCCCACACCCGTGTACAATGTACATATATAGAGATACACAATGGCGTTGCGCAATAAACTTCTAATTTTTTCTATCCCCGCGAATGGCGTTTTCGTTAGACCTAAAATGGTATAGGTATCTATATTATTATATTATTATACTTCATATTATAATAACCCGGTTGATAATCTCTCCGCTCCCGTCATCCTGAAAGGCTATGTTCGTGACTGATCATCGATGGAAATTTTGAAAATACAATAAGAACCTAACTAAGAAGTTTACATTTTATCGCCGAAAATGAATTCAATCAGTATCACTAAATAGTATAATATATCATATTCCTCATCCAAACAACATTCGAAACTTACGGTTTTAATCAATTATTATTTGCAGTAAAATTTTTTTATCGATCAAAAGTCGTCATCCATAAAGATTTAACATCGGATTAAAGTCTTCGATATTAACTTACAAGATAATATTGTAAGTGCGTGTACAACTCTTGGGGTACCTCAGTACCTGTAAAGTAAACAACGTTGTGTCTTATATCGACAGAACATTTTGTTATCGGTCGATTCTCATCACTGTGCTGCACGTGCCCATTAAATATTGCACTAACAGCCAATATTTACACGCTTTTACTGCATAATCGCCACCGGCACTCCGCGATCGCATAATTATTTATATAAGTGCAACACATATAAACAAAATATTATAATACGATAATGAGATTAGTTTGATCGTTTTAGAACTTGTCCAATAACAAATGTAACGTTTTGTATGCACCACTCGATCGCTCGACCGTTATCTCAATGACGACCGATATGAGATTTCTGAGACGTATAATATTATACATTATACAGTGGCATCGCGTAAAATGAAGGAGGATTATTCCAACTTTGAAGATTTTAATCCGGAGATCGTCAATCGCGTGTAAAACACGCAACCGACGTCATCATTGCCGACGTCGTTTTTATGGTTTTTCATATCAAATTAGTATAGACAGTATAGTACATAATAGTATAAACGCGTCATTGTCGACGTCCATCACGTACGAAATGCGTGCAGTTCGATCGTATGCATAAGTACAATGACTATCGTTTGACAAAATAAATATCAAACAAATTTCGATTGTTCGAAATGTTAGGAAGGTTTAAAAACAAAAACTATAAAAAGCAGTGAAATTCACGTTCGTGCTCACACAAGGACGAATCGTTGTTGTGCGCCTGAACCGACTTACGCACACGCGCTCACGCACAATTGCACAAACACACGAGTGTTAATAATAATATGCGTACCTATATGTCGTGTTTTTTTATTATTATTATTCAATTCGCTACAACCTACTACGACGATTCACCACCTGACGACAGCAGCAGCAACCCACCGCCCCCGCGTACCGGCACTAGCGTCATTCGATGACGTCACGTCACGGCCGCCTACGAGCTTATTTTCGGTCGGCAACGGCTGGCGTTTGCGTGGGGGCCCTCGAGCGCCCGCCCGTCTCGCGAGCTCGGTCTCTGCGAATTTTCTTGCGCTCGCCCAGCCCTCCCCCCCCACGCACCACCTTCCGACCGGTGTGCGACTGTAATAATATTATACTCGCTATTTTTGAAGCACCAAGAGTGCTATTTTTGATTTTTTCGTGTTTTTTTTTTTTAAATTACAACTATGTTTTTTGTAAATTATGCTCAGGACGCATCACGCGCTGCCAACAACCTGAGTCGCTGTCCACCAGCCCGTCCACTTCCAGCGAAGGAGCTTTTTCATGTCGCAGCTCGCCGTCACCACCATTGAGCGAGTCCAGTTCCTCGGCCGCCTGGAGCGGACGCGGCCTGCCGTCGGTCGTTGACGAAGGTATTGGTCTGACCGACGATGATTTCGAAGACGTGCCCAAGCGAAAGAAGGTCAGTAGCACAATATGTTACTATGATTAGTGTATCCTGCATCTTACACATAATATTATTATAATGTAATTGAAAAATATTGTTTCAAAGATTTCAATGGTTTAAATGTTTAACTGTGGTATTTTACATCATATTTTCATATTTTCAAAAACTGGTGTTTATAATATTATAGTTCGTTGTCTATCTACGAACTTTTCAACTGCCGTTATTATAGTGATTACACACACTGTATCATGCATCCCGAAATATGCTTTTATTAATTTAGAATTATATGCGAATGTGTATATAAAACTTCGCTGCAGGCATATTTTAAAGTTTGATCTAAAAGTATTAATTTAATATTATGACGTATCCCCGACCTCGTTGAGAATACAGAAAATTCGTATACCGTATCTGCGTTGCTCGTCAAAATTAAATTTCACGTCGATACGATTGTGCTCGGTATATTATGATGAATGTTTAGAATAATTGCCCCGATAGCCATCATCGTCCATCCGTATATACACGCGCGGACCGTCATTACATATTTCCTCCTTTCTAAAATGGGCCTGAATATGCGTATAATATGTGTGTACGTACATTAAGTATATTAACATTGCGTTAATTCGAACGCAAAGAAATAATATGTGAAATATAAAACTAATAAAACGGATACGCCCCTGTCAGCTTGTTAAAAAACCGCTCTTTGTTTTTTTTTCGCATGCTGATTCTGGTGTTAGTGTAGGTATTATTTTGTTTAATTATTTTTTATTCAATAGCTAGAATTTTCTAGGTGTACATAATAATAATAATTACGGTAGTGCTGTAGGTTTTTTTCCCCGAAAGTGCGCTGATCCGTTAGTAATAGATATCTACTACAATTTTCAGTTGGGTGCTTGTAAGCCGTGACGACAATTTTAATTTGTTAACTTTATTCTCTCGTGGACTGTTTCCCCGCCCACGCACTGCACCAACGCAATCATAAATCATTACCGGAAGGCGAATAAATTTATTTTTTAAACAATAACTGTCGTATTACGATAAATAATTAAACTTTAACATTTAATCAATTTGACTTGAATAAGAATAACTTTTTTGAATCAAATAAAAACCATCAGCCGGTATTCATACACCTTATAAATAGTTTTGTGATTATTATATCTTTTGAAAATATTTCTTACCAGCATATTAAGCTAATTTATATATATTTTTTATATTCAATAATAACCGCAAGTAGCTATTTATTTATAATTATACTTGGTGTTTGTGTATATTATATTTTATGTTAGACATTAATGGTTTCGTGTACAAATAATTAATTTCAGCTACATTAACATAGTATATTAGAAGTAATTTAGGTTCACCATATTATCCATTTAATTTGATAATAATGTGTTATAGGTTAGTTCAATAATAACCTATTCATATTTTGATCTATTATCTAATGTTTATAAGTATCAATAACATTTAATAAATTTTTTTTTTAATGAGTAAAGTCTACAACTATGTGCTGTATTCCCTACATTTTAAATAGGTATACATTATGCTAAAATATATAATTGCTATGGCCACGGGGGTGGGAAAACCGTCGATACAATTATTCTAGGCATACGTATATTTATGTGAACTATGCAAAGGTCTTATAATATGTATTAATGCATCATACACAGTATACACACCTATACTCCCTTCCTATAGCAGTTTTGACAAAATAAATATATAGTAAAATATTATTTGTTAGACAAATATTCAATACGACAGCTTTCATCCTGAAGCCGTCGAAGAAATCGTTTTTCCTCGTAGTATTTATAAATATTATGATAAACGGTCGATTGATGAAAATTGAGATTCGAATGGAAGGAGAAAGTGAGAGGTATTGTTACGTTTACAATCGCTCGTTAAAAAAATGCGAACACATATATAATATAATGGTCACGACGAGAGAGGCGTATCATTAAACGTATATAGTTATAACTTGAAAATTTTAAATTTATGTTGAAGTACGTACTCACGCGTGTTAGTTTGTATAAAATATAAATAATATGATATGCGTGATGCATCCCCAAATACGTAAATAGCTCTTTATATAGGTATAGTGTTAATTGTTATCCTCAATACATGGATAACATGGTACATAAATATAAAGCAAATTCTTACCCCAAAAGAAATCGCGGAATGTATTTGGCACTGACGCGGTAGATAATTGTGGTGTACTATATAGTATATTATGGTTAGTGGCTATGACGACGGGTGTTGGTGTGTCTGGTTATACCTTTTTCTATAAATCCATTTGTTCGTGTCTAACAATAAGAAGTCTCGAATCCGCTTATTTTCCACCTCTGAGGTACATTGAGAGTAGTATTTACAGAGTAGCATTTTACAGGAGTAATAGATATTATAATAATATATTTCCTCCGACCGCTGGAGGGATTGGTGGTGATTGGCTGTGTCTGGGAATTTCACCCCGGCAAGACCGGTTTTATTTTTTTAAATATCTACTCCGTCGGTTTTGGGCCGCTCCCCCCAAAAACAGCTGTTCACGTTTTCGAATTACGACGCAATAGCTTAATATTCTCTTTACAGTTTACACTCATCATCATCTTCCCTCTTTGGAAAACCTCCGCATTCTTATAATAATGAATATTTAAAAAAAAATGTATTGTGCGCGTGTGTGCACCGACTGGCAATGAGGTGGCGGTGAAGGGGACACTGGAGTGTCGGATTGCATGCTGCAACGTGTGTCAGAAAGTCCTTGGACGTGTCGGTTCCATGTAATTTTTTTTCTTTTTGTTGCAACTTTGGCCTTGCAATTTTCGCAACTGCACTAGCTGCGGTGGTGCACGTGCGCATTACGCCTTTATTATTATTATTATTATATATTATGTTTACACGCTTGTGGTGCGTTTTTATAATCCGTGTCCGTCTAATTTTGACGAAATTAAATAATCTAATAATAGTGTCGAATAAAAAAAAATCATGATGAATAGAAAAAAATTCCGCTGACCTTCGTGTATTCTCGTAGTTTCGTAACGGGAACGGGTAATCCCCCAAAAAGCCCGATGGCTGTTGGTCGTTTTACACGCTTTTCCTACTTCCAATCTACTAGTTGTCGGTTCTATCTAAATAAATTATAATATCTAAATAAACTGCACGCGTTAACCGCCACATCGCGATTAAGGCACGCTAGTGGTGATAATTTTTGCGGTGTATCAAGTCCAAAAGTTTGATTCGTTTCATTACACATACGTTCCCATCGTGGTTATTCCATTATGCGGTGTTTCGCGATAGTGTAAATTGTGTCAAATTCGAATATTATTTATTACATTATGGGATTGAGTTCCGACCACCGACACATACATATTATAACAAATATATTTTGTAGTATACACTCAACAATATTGTTATTTAATAAACACATTCGGGTCTCCGATGATAATAATTTTATAATATACTTTATTGTTTACCATACTAGTGAAATTTGTAATATATAATGTTGCCGGCTGAATAATATCATTATATTCAGTTTTCTGGCGATCGAATGGGATTTACGGACACAACAGCAACTGCAACTGCAATAATATGTCGGAGAACCGGTCGAGCAACGCACAAACAAAGGATGACAAAGTGGCCTTGGCGTCAAAAAGTGCAATGAAATGCGCGACACGTGCAACGTCCGTAGCGCGCGTCATCCGTGCGAAATTTCTCGCAATGCAATTCCCTCGTACGTGGCCCACGGACGTTGTCGTCGCCCTATCCCGCTTCCCGGCCGCTGTTCGGTGCGCTGGTATATTACCATTACTACTACTGTTATTACCGCTATGGCGTCTCTCTCTGTCACTGTTCAGCTTATACCAGCTGTAGAGGAGGAGTGGCAAGTCGTTTCGGTAACGAGTGGTCGTATTATGGTGGCGGGGCGGAGGTGACACGACGGAGGAATAATAAGGGGCCCCTTTTGCGCACGCCCGGGAATTTTCTTTGTTCGTCGGCGGTGCACGTGGAGCGAAGACCAGCACGTGTGTACAAGAGGGTGGATGGTGCGGGGCGTGCGCGCTGGTCCGCGTCGCAATACCATAACAACGCGGCCATAAAGTATACGCGGCTGAGCGAGCGGGATAGCGTTCGCGCGCGCGCACTCACACTTGTTGTGACAAAGGAAAAATGGCGTATTTAAGTTTTCTCTCTCCATTTGGAATAAAAAAAAAATCGCTTCATGGCGGAAACTCTGTCAAAAAACCACCAGTGCCAAAATGGGGACGACAATCGAAATCGAAACCAAACTGTCATTCGAAAATCGATTACAAATTTTAAAAGCAAACCAACCGGTATATTATACATACCTACGCCGAATGACGATGATGATGATAATAATAATAACAACAACAATAAAGTACTATTAAACGTAGCGCATTTGAATTTTTAAATATAGGTAGGTAGTAGGTACGTCGTACGTGCGAATGTTACGAGCGAAAGATAACAACAATAACGGGACTCACGCGATGCGTGCTGCTGCGTATGCGCGGTATCGATCATTGCCGGCCGGCACTTATGAACACGTGTCCCCCGCTCGCGAGTTTCCCGCCCGTCCTACCATCGTCACCTTCTACGCACCGCCGTTCCTAGGCCGCCGGCGCACCGGGTCCGGCACCAAGTTAATAATTTATTATACGACGCAAAAATACAACGCATCTCATCGGCGGATGGACCACATCGGGAATACCCTGCATCTTAAACCGTGACGCAACCATCATCCTTGTCGTCGTTGTTTTTGTTGTTGTTGTTGTTAGATGAGTGAGCGTTATAAATTTATTATAATGATATAGGTAGATAATATTATATTATACACATAATATGCCCACGCAGTGGCGGCGGTGGCCGGTCACTGCCGATGCCGCCGTCACCTCGCGTGCGTTGTTCCGGCCCGTTTGTAATATGGAAACCATAAAATTCGCCTCCGAGAGGTTGTTAACACCGAGGACGATTCGAATAGGCCAAAAAAATAATAAGAAAATCATCGTGCGTGT